TGTGTGTGTGTGTGTGTGTGTGTGTGTGTGTGTGTGTGTGTGTGTGTGTGTGTGTGTGTGTGTGTGTGTGTGTGTGTGTGTGTGTGTGTTTTAACACACTGCTTAGGAGGAAAAATACCAGCAATGAGTTGCCACTGTTGCAGTCCGTCAGTTTTGAAAGCATTATGAGGCCATTTCTGGATCACTCGGAGTCCATTGCTCAACAATAAATTAAATAAATAAATAAATAAAAAAATAAAAAAACATTTGAAACAGTTGCCAATTTTCCCAGCAATAAACGAGCCAGCAAATTCAGTCCAATGTCAGATCTTGCAATACTCAAAGGAATTACATGGAGCCCAAAAGCCCCCTCTTAAAATCTGTAGACCTCTGTTAGCATGTTAAATTTCTCTACAGCAAAACTGGAAAAAGACTGAACAGATATGTCTTGCTTGGAGTTGTTGCAGACAGAATGTCTCTTCTGTCTAAAAATATATATATATATGGGTGCATGATTTAGGATTGAAAACCTGCAACAACAAGCTGCCACAAGTTCTGCAGCTGCTGGTTTTGTAGCCACAGGAGTTGGTCACTTTGCAGGATGATCTGCTCTCCAAATCATATTCTCCAGCCAAAGGAGTTCTGCATCTAAAGTTGGATCATGAAACAAGACAATGACCCAAGCACATCAAAATAAAGAGAAAAATAAAGTGTTGGAAAGCCTTAGTCAAAGTTCAAACTTTGACCTGGCGGAAATGCTTAAAAGAAAGCCTGACTCCTTTTAAGTTATTGCTGCTCAAGGGGATTCTACTAGCTGCTAAATTGTAGGATGAAATACATTTTGTCATATAACTTAGTTTTATCTTTGTTTATTGCTATTAATGATGACAATGTGGGATCTGTATTATGCTTTTGCATTCTTGTGATTATATTTAAGCAATCAGGTAAAGCCTGAAAGCATCCGAAATCAAAAGAGGGTGTCCTTTCTTTTTACCATCAATGGTTCACATTGACATTTAAAATCTGAGAGATTGTTCTGTGGTTTGTTAACTACAGCATTTCATGTGAAAAGCTGTGCAGGGAAAAATAAAATGGTGCAGCTGGATTGCAATAAAATTCATTTGGACCTAATAATGGCAAAACATTTTAGGAATATAGTTCAGAATTCAAAAATGTATGTGACAGTGACTTACTTTTTGTTAAATTGGACAAAAACTCCCTGAAGCTTTGCTTCAAGATAAATGTACCTGAATGAACTTGAGAACATTAATTTTCTCAACTCTTACACATTTCACTCATGCAACTTGTAAAACATAAAAGCAAAAAGCAATGGAAATTTCGTTGAATTCTGTTCAGTGACAATAAATGCTATCTATCTATCTATCTATCTATCTATCTATCTATCTATCTATCTATCTATCTATCTATCTATCTATCTATCTATCTATCTATCTATCAAAACTTTACTGCAAAGGTTTCAGCAAAGGCAACAAAGCAACAGGCACAGAACAGTCTTAGATATTTTATAATTCTAAATATGCAAATAACTGGATGACTTATAACTACATTTTTCACAACAATGTAAGTAATCTGAGCTGTGTAGTCGCTTACAGCACAATTACTGCCTGCTCTGTTCTGCACAGGATACACATTTTTATACTGAACATTAATCACACACATCCTCATAAATGCTACTCCTCCTCCCTTCACTCAGGCAGATCATTCCAGCTGATCGAAGCCTTGATCTCAAACTCCCACCGACGGCTGGAGATCCTGTTGGAGAATATTAAAGCATGTGTGTAAAGCACATGGTGAACATTTCATTTGTTTGCTGATACCACATTTCTGCGTGTGTGTGTGTATCAGAGGTTTCTGTGGTTCTAACTCAAACGAATGAATGAAATGGAGGTGGATATTTGTATGCAGAGGGACATGAACCGACTGGAAATAGCTACAGCGTCTTACAGACGTCTTCATATGCGCTGAGCAACTTCCTCACATGACAGCTGTAAACGTTCATGTCTTTCATCGCCATTTTATGTGACAAACCAACACAAAATAATGTGTAATTGTAAAGTACACGTGTAAAGTACATGGTTTTCAATTTAGTTTTAGAAATAACAATCTGAAATGTGTGGCATGCTTCTGTCTTTAGCTCACCTGAGTCAATACTTCCAATTGCATGCAATCTGTTGTGATATGTCTCCAATACATTTGAAATTAAATTTCTGTCCATTCTTCGTTGCAAAAAGGCTTGAAATCAATCAGATTGGATGGAGAGGATCTTTGAAAATCCAATTTCAAGTTTTGGCACAGGTTCTCAATTCGATTTAAGACTTTATTTGGACTTTGACTGGACCATTCTAGCATATGCTTAACCCATCACACAGTAGACCTGGCTGTGTGTTTAAGGTTGTTGTCCTGCTGGAAAGTGAACCTCAGTGCCCTGGTTTCAAGACTGTAGCATGAATTGGAAAGTCAAAATGTATTTGTTAATTTATACTTTTTTCATATCAGGTAAACTGGTACACAGCATTTCTTTTGCGATTTAATGTCTGATATCTCAGAAGCATAATATCAGACTCTTTCCAAGAAACTCTGTTGCAGCTGTGGGGAGGATTCTGTGATTGGGTGAGTTATTTGGAGGAACTGCTGGTATTTTATAAATGTACGGGGAAATACTGTTTACTACTGCTACAACTACCACAGAGGGAAGACCTCCGAGGAATCTGTGACCTGTTAATAGCATATAAATAAAAGACATAATTCCAGCTCTCTGGGTCAAATCATGCCTGTCTGACTCCTCGCTGACTGACTGGGTTTCCATGATCTGCCTCCACAAGCCTTTCTTCCAGGATTATCCTGTATTAAGGTCCATCCATCTTCCAAACAGTTCTGACACGCTTTCATGTCACAGCTGGAGAAAAGACACAATGCTGCTCTCATCAAGTCCATGACTCAATGTAATCTGCTGGGTTTCCTTAGAAGGAAAACCTTTTAACCCTTTCATGCATAGTGGTCACTACAGTGGACAGCTATGTAGAGCCATTTTCTTGTCATAAATGCACACAGACCACTGAAGTGGACACTAATAAATCATAAAATACACTATCAACTACTGGTCATCAGCTGCAAATGCAAGAAATTATTTTTTGTTAAATCCAATATGGCCAACAGACAAAAGCATGCCAACCAACCCTGTCCCTTCTTCTACTGTAGACGGCTCTAGAAGGTAAAAAAAAAAATATTGTGACATCAGATAATCCCTAAAGAACAATACTACTGATGTATTTTTCAAACAATAACTTTGTATTTGGAGAAAATTACAATTGATCACCTAAAAAAATATATATATATTTTAAAAAATTGCAAATTTTTCTTCTATACATTTTTTTATGCCTTACGAAAATAAAAAAAAATTGAAAAAAAATCCTGACACAAAGGATCATAATTAATGCTTGAAAGGGTTAAACTAATTTTAATAATAATGCACTGATTGATAATTAGGATTAATTAGAATGTATGTGTGATTGAACTGAATTATTATTATTATTATTATTATTATTATATTTTGGAAAATACCAAGAGATGACATTTGCATATAAGTAAACTGAAAGGTGATGTGAAGTGTTAAAAAAAATACCTTTTTTTAGGCTTTCCTCTGCCACTGGTTCGTAAGTCAAATTTATTACTAATAGTTGTCGCGTTAGAAGATCCTCCCACCTGAGCTGTCGCTCTCTGCAGTACCTCCAGAGTTAGCATGCTATTGTACAGCATGGACCTATTTGCTTCCATTTTAAAATTTGCATTCAGATTTTTATTATAAAAAAAAAAAATGAAAACCATGTTTAGTTTTCCTTCCTCATTACAAAAAAAAAAAAAACGTAAAATAAAATTAAAAACTAGGATCTCAGTAAAACACTGAAGTGCTCTGCATGTTCACAGAAAATTAACATTTTTGGATCGACACATTCAATCCATTGTCTTCAACGTGTGCTTGCACCTGCATGCCTACACACTGTGGGTGTGTCTTTTCATATTAATGTGTGTGTGCGTGTGTGTCAGGAGCATGGGTTGTGACTCACTCTCTGGGAGCCGAGGCCTCTGGCAGAGAGAGAGCAGCAGACCTGGCAGGTCCCGGCAGGGCCCTGAAGCCGCTCTGCGGCTCGCCTCGGCTGCCCCCTCGGTTGCCGGCCCATCTTTGACTCACACCAAGTGAGCACTCGCCAGAAAGCCACACTGGGAGGCCTCCGGCACGAAAAACAGGACGTCAAGTCTTACTGCTGACAGCCATGTCAGGGCCATGATAGATTCAGAGCCACTGTGGGGAATTGAGGCATGGGCATTTATCCATGTGATGCGTTCAGTGTTTGCCACTTTCCCATGATAAATGGGAGTCAGGTTATGGTGGCTGCAGGGCCACGACAACATTCAGCAGAGTGGCACCTCTTTGAAACTAAATCAAAAGCTGCTTCTGGCTCTCAACAGCAACGGACTGAACTAAAACATCTAGACCAGTAAGGGTCGTGATAAGATAAAACAATCAGCGACTTATCTGCTTCTCCTGTCACATTGAAAACGACTTCAAACTAGCAGCTAAAAACTGAAAACTTGTGGTCTTGTCATGTGCTCCCAGCCCAGGCATGACCATGCCAAACTAACTGCTGGGTCTGAGTTCGCAACAAACCGATCAGCTTTGCACCATTACAAAAGGCAGAAAAAATAAAACGCACATGATGCCTGAGCTGCATCTCTCAGCTCATGAAATAAAAACATCTGTGAGCAAAGCGAAGCATGCCCCAACACATCCAGCTCATATATCAGGCTTATTTCACCGAATATTGGAGAGCGGTTTTTAGAACCCAGCCAGGGATGTCACACTCATTCCCTTTATCTCTGCTCAGATCCAGACAGAGGTTTATATGAACTCATCTTCAGCAGGAGTGATATTTTAGCCTTTTAATGATTTATTTAAACATATAACTTCATTGTTACTGTAAAACAGAAATTTTAGGCACAATGTTGAATTCATTCTGGATTTGCCGTTTGCAACACATAGTTTAGAGTTACACACACAAACTCCTTAGCCACTTTATTACATATACCTGTGTAGTAGCAAATATTTGTTTTTATAATGTTCTACCAGAGAAAACTAAACAACCTACAAAAGACCAAAAGTCACAAATGCCAGTGGAGGCAAGAAAAAAAAAGTCAGTCTATATATATATATATATATATATATATATATATATATATATATATATATATATATATATATATATATAAAATCAGAGATAAATTGTCAAAAAGGTTTATCTATTAATCTTCAAGAAGTATATAAATAGTTCTTCACATGCAATGGTTTTGTTAAAATGAAAATAAAGACTAACATCTCTTATGAAACTTCAAACAAAACTACTATGAAGCCAACCCGTTTAAATAAACTCTACAAATTCTCATAAGAATTTCAGAAGGAATTATGCCATGGTTCACAGTGACTTATTGGTGGCATTTCTCTGAAATTTGCAAAAACATATTTGAGGAAGCATATTATTTTTAATAATTTTGACTTTCTCTGGTATAAAGAAAACCTACAATAATGTGTGTGAAATTCTTGTTTTTGAAACTCAATGCTTGTTGACATATCATTTGTCATATCATCACTTGACAAGCTGAAAGTACGGCCACCGTGCCTCTGACGAAAACTGTTTTTCTAAAACATTCCTGCTCCAAACCGACTGGGTTTATTGTGTCGCTTATTAATCCTGAATTATCCGCCGTAATTTAAATAACTGAACATACCGTTTAACAAGAGTAGAAGACATATTGCAGTACATTGCAGTGTTCACCTTTATGCATTGAACGCATTCAGATAAAACACTGATGACACTCATCTCACCTAGAGATGCATGACTCAGCACATTACAAAGAGAAGGGACGATGAGAATAGAGCTTGAATGGACCGAGCAGACGCACAAACGGCGAGCAGAGTTAAAGGCAGAGCGCCGTGATGAAGATGAAACGGGCTGCAGAGGAGGGACAGCGAGAGCAAGGTTACGGCCTGGACTCTGACCCAGATTATAAATAAGGCCTCCGAAAACCCGATCTGACCGTGCCGCTGTGTGGTCCTCCTCTCTGTTCAGCTCGCTGCGGACGCATTAAGACCACACAGCTCTCGTCTCGCTGCACTCCGTGCGGCCCTTCGACGAGTCAGAACACGTTGTTTAAGTGCTGCATGAAAACGACGAGGTCAGAGGATCGCGAGATTCAATTAAAGGCTGCTCAAAACCCACATGTTGTCAAACTCAGCACAGGCAGAGGGCCGGGAAGACGAAGGATCGCACGTAGCTGCTTTAACGGCTGTGATCCTTCCATCGGCGTTCCGACTCAAACCGTTTTCCTCGCAGGCAGACTAATGCTGTAACTCAAGGACGAAAGCAGAACATTTTTGTATGTACCAGTAAGAGAACAGCACTGGGTACAGGCCGAAGACTTTGGCAGAGGCTGCTGGCAACCGGTTTGCTTTTCGCTTTAGCTGGTTTGCTGGCAATTCCTTCGCCTATTTGGTTATTTACTAGCCAAGTAAGAGCTTGAAACAAGCCAGGAGAAATCAGTACTGTGGGTGTTTTTCTGGGTTTAACTGGATTGTTTTTTTGATACTCAGCATTAACAATTCATTTAAGAAAGCTTTACATCAAGGAAACAGTAGGAGCACAATAGCATGTCACGCGTAAGCAGCTGCGATTAGGCAAACAAGCTCCTCATTGTCTGAA